TGTTTGCTTATTTTTTTTTTTAAGCAATGGCTTTTTCTGGCCACTCTTCCGTAAAGCCCAGCTCTGTGGAGTGTATGGCTTAAAGTGGTCCTATGGACAGATACTCCAATCTCCGCTGTGGAGCTTTGCAGCTCCTTCAGGGTTATCTTTGGTCTCTTTGTTGCCTCTCTGATTAATGACCTCCTTGCCTGGTCCGTGAGTTTTGGTGGGCGGCCCTCTCTTGGCAGGTTCGTTGTGGTGCCATATTATTTCAATTTTTTTATAATGGATTTAAAATGGTGCTCCGTGGGATGTTCAAAGTTGTGGATCATTTTTTATAACCCAACCCTGATCTGTACTTCTCCACAACTTTGTCCCTGACCTGTTTGGAGAGCTCCTTGGTCTTCATGGTGCCGCTTGCTTGGTGGTGCACCTTGCTTAGTGGTGATGCAGACTCTGGGGCCTTTCAGAACAGGTGTCTATATACTGAGATCATGTGACAGATCATGTGACACTTAGATTGCACACAGGTGGACTTTAATTATATGACTTCTGAAGGAAATTGGTTGCACCAGATATTATTTAGGGGCTTCATAGCAAAGGAGGTGAATACATATGCACGCACCACTTTTCCATTATTTATGTTTTAGAATTTTTTGAAACAAGTAATTGTTTTCATTTCACTTCACCAATTTGGACTATTTTGTGTATGTCCATTACATGAAATCCAAATAAAAATCCATTTAAATTACAGGTTGTAATGCAACAAAATAGGAAAAATGCCAAGGGGGATGAATACGGGGGTACCGGTACCGAGTCAATGTGCGGGGGCACCAGTTAATTCTAGCTATGTCTCTTGAGATAGCTCTGTGTTGTTGTTTTTAATCGCACTGCTTTGCTTTATCTTGGCCAGGTCGCAGTTGTAAATGAGAACTTGTTCTCAACTGGCTTACCTGGTTAAATAAAGGTTAAATAAAAATGTAATAAAAAATTTAAGCAAAGGCTTACCAGAAACACAAGCGGGGAAAACTATCACTGTAATTTAGTAGTCCCTAGTGACTACTAGGCATTAACACTTAATAGTAAAAAGCTATGGTAACACTTAATGTGAACCTGCATCATAGAGGCTACATAACACTGCCATTACAATGACAGAAGAGGTCATAAACAGTCCTGTCAGCGGAGTTAAAGCAGGCCTAAAATACTGAACTGTCACAGAGGAGGGAAGGTAGGAGAGGTTGATGGAGAAGATTTTGTTCAGGTTGTGACAATAGGTGTGCTGTTCTCCTTTGGTCCCACACTCCTGCTGAGGCAGCCGGGGAACTTGTCGGAACATGTAAAATACGGACTCTCTGCGGCTAAAGATGGAATCCTAGCTCTGCCAAGAAATTCCCTCCATTATTCCCAAACAATGCGCCATTGTCTGGGAAAACCCTGAAGCTGACAATGTAGCAAATTCTATCACTGCGTAATGCCCCTCCACTGCACTGGAGAGGAGCTGGGGGCTCTTAACTCGGGATACTACGAAATACCACAAAAACCCACCATTGATTCTACTCTTCCTACCACAGTAACTAATCTCGACGCAGCTTCTTTCTCAGCTCTAAATGAACCAAGTCCAAGACCCTGGCTGGCCTCAGCCAGTCATATCTACCTCTCCTCCCAGGGACTGATGATAATTCATCATGGTGGAGACAGTGTCCACCCATAATGGCTAATATGATGATATGATTTGCAGGGGAATCAAATGGCACTCTGTCTGTCTGTGTGAGTGTGGTTGGACATCTGAATGACTCAGAAAAGGAGCTTTGTAGATAGATAGGCTAGCGTGTGTTAGCGCTCTTCTGACTGACGGGCCTAACTTCAAGCGAAGACTGGGAGTCAGCCTGATGAACCAAACTACTCAGTAACCTCCTCCATATAGCCTAACTCTCATACACTCACATTTAAACTAAAGTTTTTTTTTTGTGTGTGATTACTGATCAAATTAATTTATACATTTATAATTAGTAGGTTTTGTTATTTGTTTTAACAAAACTTTATTTTTGTACTTTTTTTGTGGTGTGGTTTTCATATCAGCCCTTGGTCTTCCAACCTGCAACACAGTTTTTTAGTTTTTAATTCGTTTTTATCTGTATTGTTGTCTATCACTTGTTTTCTTTGGTGCAAATAAATAAATAAGAGATGAGTGGGGGCAGCTTTGAACACTGACCTGTGTGAGTGTGTACTTCCTTAAGTGAGACACTTCACAGTAGTAAATTGTAAATATGACCCGTCGCACCGCATTCCTGCGGCAGGTAGGGGTCTCTTTCAGGAGCTACGAGGCGGACTGCACAACTTTGGAAAGTCCATTTTATCCTCTTCTGACTACAGCCAGGGAAGTGCTACAGGAGTTGACAACCCACAGACGCACTACCTTTCACATGGGGGGGAATTGTAACAAGTAGCTTAAATTATAAGATGTGAGGCTTTAGGCTGGTGTGCGTATTAGTTTATGGTATACTTCATATTTTAAATTGGTTTCACATTTGATTGGGATGTCATCGCGAGTGTGTTGGGAGTTCAAACAGAACCTGTAGATTAGAACCCTTTATATTACATGGATTGCACTCCCTTGACTTCTCTACAATATTGGAATTGTCAGGACTACACAAATCAAAACAGAGCTTGGAATTCCAGGTCAAAAGTTGTGTGGTGTGTGTAGCTACCTTCAACACTCTCTAAATATAACCTCTAGGTGAGGCACAGCTGGACAAGTGGACAGGATCTATAAACTCCAGCTATTCTGAGCTTTATAGAGAGTAGAGGTAGAGGCGGCTAACAGGGGTCTTCAATCTTTTCTTGCACAGGGACCCCCGCCCAGGCAAAGTGGCAACCCAGATTTTTTTTGTTTGGTCTGTTGTTGCTAGCGATATTCATAAAAACATTGAAAAAAAATTATATTATCCCACTTTTATAAAATATATATATGAAAAAAAACCTGGTTGAATCCCTGCTCTAATGGGATATGGATTCTACAGAGATCTATTGTTTTCCCTGCGACCCCTCCCTCACATATCTGGGAAATGACATCAGCCCCTTCCTGGTTCCTCACCCAACTAAGGCCCACACCTGCCCCTCCCCCCTCCCTTGCTTCCCCTCCCCCTCATCACTCCCCCGGGGCCTTCAGTTGGTCAAATCTCTCCACCTGCGAGAGAGAGCGAGATGACCGTGAGGTCAGGGTGACACAAAACTGACATGACAACCACAACAGTGCTAATTAAACTGTGTGCCGTCCCTGCTTCTCTCCTCACGTTGGGTCTCGCGCTCACAAAGGCAGGTGCAGCGAAAACAACCCATCTCCCAGACAAAACATTCACTCAAGTAACTAGCTAATACACAAGCATATTGTACAAACAAACCTCAAAAACACACTCACGTGTCAGATCAACACTCTGGCACGTGTTAAGAAAACCTACAGTATACACACCCAAACGCATAGATGGTCGCGGTACGCGCACTTGCCTTACACAGTAGTCTCACCTAAAGCTACTTATTGGGATCAATGAACAAATAACTCAGACATTAATTTAATACAATTAATAAAAAGGTCAAGTTCACCAAACTAAAGACAGTACATTACAGGAACTAATCTGCTTACCCTTTACACATGGATCTAAATCAGACGCCAGGAGGACTATGGGCCAGACGAAAAAGGTGGAGAGTTCAAGGAGCTGCTAGTAAATTCCCTCCGGGGTCAGGAGTCGTAGTTCAAGGGTCTTGATGGCTACGCAGGCACTAGCAGATCAAAGCGGTGGAGGCGGGTGGCTGGAGACATCCTACTGACCGGTGGCCGTCCCTACCCAGCATGCCGGTGAAACAGTGGGGGTGCAACGGCTCTCAGGAAGCACCTAACTTCCTGCACGACCCACGACTGCCCACCAACCGGCTCCATCCAGCCAAGCCATCATGCCCAACCCAGCTCTGGGGTTATCAGGAAGGTCATGGGTTAAGTCCAGTTCAGAAGATGAACATCCAAAGGAGAGTAGAGGGTAATAGATAGACACATGGAAACCCGGTGTGTCTGCGTATGCGATAAGACTCAGCGGGCAGCAAAGGAAGTCTAGCTACTTCCTTAATAACAGAGAGAGTGTTCAGGGTGGAAAGGAATGAGGTTTAAAGCAGAGCTTCGGATGAAAGATTTAACTGACTAAGGTTTAATTGTTTAAAAAAAAAAACGTTTTACTCCTTTTTTGTGATATCCAATTGGTAGTTACAGTCTTGTCCAATCGCTGCAACTCCCGTATGGACTCGGGAGAGGCAAAGGTCTAGAGCCACGCGTCCTCCGAAACACAACCCTGCCAAGCCACACTGCTTCTTGACACACACTGCTCGCTTAACCCGGAAGCCAGCCGCACCAATGTGTCGGAGGAAACACCGTACACCTGGCGACTGAAGTCAGCGTGAACGCGCTGGGACAATTGTGTGCCGCCTCATGGGTCTCCTGGTCGCGGCCGGCTGCGACACAGCCTGGGATCGAACCCGGGTCTGTAGTGACGCCTCAAGCACTGCGATGCAGTGCCTTAAACCGCTGAGCCACTCGGGAGGCCTCTAACTGACTAATGTTTGAATTGAGGACCGTACGAGAGAAGGAATTTGAGTAAGTTGTTGATGGGGTTTTTTAAAACTCAGATGATCTTTCATTCCTCAGAGCAGCAATGTAAGAGTAAGTCATACACACACACACCTCTTTAAGAGAAATTCCTGGCATTTCTGGCGCCAGAGGTCTGGTTAGAGGGACTACACCTCAGAAGGCACAGTTGGGCAGGGTCAAACACACACAAGGGACACTAATGAAAACCGCACACACACCCTGCCACTCAAAGAATAGTCACAGACATATTCACTTCATAAACACTGTGACTCTCTCCACTCTCTACCTCTCTCTCACACGAGACACATTGAGAACCAAAAGTGGGTCACCGAGACCGTGTTCATGATAAAAGACAAGGCTTTGTAAAAATGTTTGGCTTAACCCTGCCTTAAATCCCTATGGAGACTAATAGGGCCTCAGTCTCTGTGCTTCCAGAATCCAGACCACTCACCGTTCCCACCAATGGGTAGATGAATCCCGCTCCGATGCTGGCGCGGATGTCTCTGATTGGCAGGGTGAAGCCGGTGGGCGTGCCCTTCTTCTCAGGCAAGTGTGACAAGGACAGGTGGGTCTTGGCCATGCAGATTGGAAGCTTCTCATAACCCTGCGGGCAGGAGCGCAGGAACATAATTAGACAACTTAATTAATTCAGTGTGTGTGTTAATGTGTGTTTGTGCATGAGAAAGTAACTATGTAAAAGCATCAATATATCATGTGTAGCTAACTCATACTGGTTGGTATGGTGACCTCACCTGCTGGTTGTAATAGTCTATCTTGGCCTGGGCCTCTGGAGACAGCTCGATGTCATCAGCCCCGTACACCTTCTGGGCTATCATCCTAATCTTCTCCACTATGGGGGTCTGGGAGGACAGAAGACACAGGACAGTATTCAGCAAGGACCTATGGGAAACAGACGTTTAGTCTCAAAAGGTTGAAAGGTACGAAACTAAAACCTTAAAGCACAGTCACACACAGTGTCTACGCTTGTGCACGGGTTCGCTTTCACACTGTCACAGCGTGGTAGCCAGGGCACCAAAACAGCGGAGAAGTTGAGCCTCGCGCTTCAATGCTTTTAGTTGTTGCGGAAATGTACCACTATGCTGTTTACTTTCTGCATCTACGTCATATTGCTGAGTCTACCTTTAAAGGTCTTTCTCTGTCACATTTAAATCAGTAGACAAACGCTAAGAGAGTAACAACTAAAAACAACCTAGGGAAAGCTGTATGTCTTTTGCTTCTTGAGAAGGCCTTAGTTAGCCTAGGGTCATAAACCCTTCTACTGGCCGGACATCTGAGGAAACATAACTCCACTACATGATGCTACCGATAATCAGGGAGACAAGCAACGGCTCCATGGACCTACACACACCCCCGCACATGCACGTGAGCACACAAACACACACGTGCAAACTCACACACATGCAAACACACACGCGCGCACACACAGGTGCAAACACACACGCAAACACACACACACAGAAACGCATGCACAAACACACACGCACAAACACACACAACCCTGCATGGTCTCTATAACAGGATCAGTTAATCAAAGTCACAACTTTCCAAACTCACTAACTCAAACCAGCTGATGTTTTTTCCTCAGATTCTGGATGGGCTCCCAAAGACAGGAACTCAAACAGGGAAATGAATGCATGTTTCACGCACATGGGTTTCCCCCCTGTCTCAGCCTCCAGTATCTATGCTGCAATAGTCTATGTGCCGGGGGGCTAGAGTCAGTCTGTTATATCTGGTGTTATTCTCCTGTCTTATCCTGTGTGAATTTAAGCATGCTCCCTCTAATTATCTCGCTCTCCCTACCCTCCCGGAGGATCTGAGCCCTAGGACCATGCCTAAGGACTACCTGGACTGATGACTCCTTGCTGTCCCCAGTCCACCTGGTCGTGCTGCTGCTCCAGTTTCAACTCTTCTGCCTGCGGCTATGGAACCCTGACCTGTTCACAGGACGTGCTACCTTGTCCCAGACCTGCTGTTTTCAACTCTCTCTCTCTACCACACCTGCTATTTCAACCTCTAAATGCCCGGCTATGAAAAGCCAAGTGACATTTACTCCTGATGTACTGACATGTGACCACTGTGATTATTATTTGACCCTGCTGGTCATCTATGAATGTTTGAACATCTTGGAGAGAAATCTGGCCTTAATGGCCACGTACTGTTATAATCTCCACCAGGCACAGCCAGAAGGGGACTGGCCACCCCTCAGAGCCTTGTTCCTCTAGGTTTCTTCCTTTCTAGGGAGTTTTTCCTAGCCACCGTGCTTCTACATCTGCATTGCTTGCTGTTTGGGGTTTTAGGCTGGGTTTCTGTATAGCACTTTGTGACATCTGCTGATGTAAAAAGGGCTTTATAAATACATTTGATTGATTGACATATGAAGCAAACATGCACACACATACAATTTCAGTATAAATACACATTGACCTTGCTCACTCCTTGAGGGTTATCTTGGTATTGTGAGACATTTTTTGTGAGAACACATACATACATACATATCTTCAACAAATTGTTCTGAGTACAATGTGATAAAAAAGAGTTTGTGGTCAAGCCAAAACGTACCATACGCAATTTAAGGAGGGACAGAAATAGTGCAGTGAAAGAGAGGCAAATAAATTCAAATAAACCCAATTCAGTCTCTGTCAGGTAATCTAATTCCAAAACTAAAAAATAACAGTCAACCCTTGCCCTCCAAAACAGACAGGCACATAATTGTCTTTATCTTCTCTCTACCACAAAACACTATTTTAGAACAGGCAAACAAAACAGGCTCCTCAGCGGTGGAGAGAGACCCCCTTCTCGTCGCAGAGTCCGACTGACGAATCTGGGTTTTGGGGGTGCCAGGAGAACGCTACCTGCCCCAATGCATAGTGCCAACTGTAAAGTTTGGTGGAGGAGAAATAATGGTCTAGGGATGTTTTTCATGGTCCGGGCTAGGCTCCTTAGCTCCAGTGAAGGAAAATCTTTATGCTACAGCATACAATTACATTCTAGACGATTCTGTGCTTCCAACTTTGTGGCAACAGTTTGGGGAAGGCCCTTTCCTGTTTCAGCATGACAATGCCCCCTTGCACATAGCGAGGTCCATATAGAAATGGTTTGTCGAGATCGGTGTGGAAGAACTTGAACACCTTTGGGATGAATTGGAACGCAGACTGCGAGCCAGGCGTAATCGCCCAACATCAGTGCCCGACCTCACTAATGCTCGTGGCTGAATGGAAGCAAGTCCCCTCAGCAATGTTCCAACATCTAGTGGAAAGCCTTCCCAGAAGAGTTGAGGCTGTTATAGCAGCAAAAGGGGGACCAACTCCATATTAATGCCCATGATTTTGGAATGAGATGTTCGACGAGCAGGTGTCCACATGCTTTTGGTAATGTAGTGTACTTTTAATGTGGGGCTATGATTGCAAATTAGTCTGACATAATGTCACTTATCTCACCACCCCTAATGAGATGGGTGTGCTTGATGAATGTCGTGTCAGAGCTTCTCAAAGTCAGAGGGCGTGGTCGACAGTACGCACCTCATCTCTGCTGTCAGATCCAACCTGGATTGAAATTTGGTTTTAATGCAGACAAGAGCACTGAATCCAGGGTCACACAGATATGAGCTGGCGAAGGGTAGGCTACCATCAGGTTTATGGTGCTTTCAAGACAACTGGGAACTCTGAAAAATATGTGGTGAAATTATGACGTCAGTGATCTTTAGGTTGGAAAGTCGGAGCTCTAGAAAGAGGCCTGAGTTCCCGATTTGGAATTCCGTTCAAAAAAAATAATCCCAGTCGGAGCTAATTTCTTTCAGAATTCCCAGTTGTCTTGAACACACTGAAGTCGGAAGTCGGAGATTTACGAGTTCCCAGTTGTTTTGAAAGCAGCATTAATGCTCAGAGGGAGACGGTAGGGTATTCCCTTCGAGTCAGGAACCAAAACTCCTCAGTGACCCGTGAACGCGTTGTCTGCAGCATTCGGTCACATGACAGCTCAATCAGCTGTTTGATTTCACTTACCAGCATGTCAACTGAGCCAGGATCACAGTTCAACGGATTGGGAAGTAGGTCCCAAAGTGCCCTTCCAAGCGTTGGAGGTGAGCAGTCATCACTCTTGTGGGACACTTACTGATGCTGTTTTCTGTTATTTTCTTTTCATTACACAGAAAGTCAACCAAGTCTGTTTATTTTGTTTTTTTATTTTTTACATCCATTGTGAATGACAACACTCCCAGTGCATTTGGAAAGTATTCAGACCCCTTTACTTTTTCCACATTTTGGTACGTTACAGCCTTATTCTAAAATAGATTATTTTGTCTTTTCCCCCTCATCAAACTACAGACAATACCCCATAACTTATTGGGTAAAACATTTATACATTTATAAAAAATTAAAAATGGAAATATTACATTTACAGAAGTCTTCAGACCCTTTTCACTCAGTACTTTCTTGAAGCACCTTTGGCAGCGATTACAGCCTTGAGTATTCTTGGCTATGACGCTACAAGCTTGGCACACCTGTATTTGGGGAGTTTCTCACATTATTTTCTGCAGATCCTCTCAAGCTCTGTCAGGTTGGACGGGGAGCGTCGCTGCACAGCTATTTTCAGGTCTCTCCAGAGATGTTCGATCGGGTTCAAGTCCGGGCTCTGGCTGGGCCACTCAAGGACATTCAGAGACTTGTCCCGAAGCCACTCCTGCGTTGTCTTAGCTGTGTGCTTAGGGTCGTTGTCCTGTTGGAAGGTGAACCTTCGCCCCAGCCTGAGGTCCTGAGAGCTTTGGAACAGGTTTTCACCAAGGATCTCTCTGTACTTCGCTCCGTTCATCTTTCCCTCGATCCTGACTAGTCTCCCAGTCCCTGCCGCTGAAAAACATCCCCCCAGCATGATGCTGCCACCACAATACTTCACCGTAGGGATGGTGCCAGGTTTCCTCCAGACGTAACGCTTGGCATTGAGGCCAAAGAGTTCAATCTTGGTTTCATGGTCTGAGAGTCTTTAGGTGCCTTTTGGCAAACTCCAAGCGGGCTGTCATGTGTATTTTACTGAGGAGTGGCTTCCGTCTGGCCACTCTACCATAAAGGCCTGATTGGTGGAGTGCTGCAGAGATGGTTGTCCTTCTGGAAGGTTTTCCCATCTCCACAGAGGAACTCTGGAGCGCTTTCAGAGTGACCATCGGGTTCTTGGTCACCTCCCTGACCAAGGCCTTTCTCCCCTGATTGCTCAGTTTGGCCGGACAGCCAGCTCTAGGAAGAGTCTTGGTGGTTCCAAACGTCTTCCATTTAAGAATGATGGAGGCCACTGTGTTCTTGGGGACCTTCAATGCTACAGAAATGTTTTGCTACCCTTCCTCAGATCTGTGCCTCGACACAATCCTGTCTCCGAGCTCTACGGACAATTCCTTCGACCTCATGGGTTGATTTTTGCTCTGACATGCACTGTCAACTGTGGGACCTTAATTAGACAGGTGTGTGCCTTTCCAAATCATGTCCAATCAATTGAATTTACCACAGGTGGACTCAAATCAAGTTGTAGAAACATCTTATCTCAAGGATGATCAATGGAAACAGGATGCACCTGAGCTCAATTTCGAGTTTCATAGCAAAGGGTCTGAATACTAATTTTTTTTAAATTTGCAAAAAATTAAATAAAACTGTTTTCACTTTGTCATTATGGGGTATTGTGTGTAGATTGATGAGGATGTATAATTTTTTTAATCCATTTTAGAATAAGGCTGTATCATAACAAAATGTGGAATAAGTCAAGGAGTCTGAATACTTTCCGAAGGCACTGTAAATTCTTCGTTTAACAGTGTTATCTGACAAAGGTATTGATGTGAGTTTCTGTGCCTCCCCGAAAATAGTTTACCATATCAATTGCGTCCGGTAATATCAAAGTCTCTGCAATAGTGTGTGATTTCATAGCGTAGCAGGCCTTGCCATTCACAATGAGAATGATTCAAGTGCCAATGGTCAAGTGCAGCCTTTCCCATGATCTAAGGGCGCTCTCTGGTTGAATTTTATCTTTTAGATTTGAATAATTTAACTAAGGTTAACCACATTACAATGATTTTGAGATAAAGACGATATTATAATATACACTGAGTGTACAAAACATTAGGAACACCTGCTCTTTCCATGACACACTGACCAGGTGAATGCTAAGATCCCTTATTGATATCACCTGTTAAATCCACTTCAAATCAGCGCAGATGAAGGGGAGGAGACAGGTTAAAGAAGGATTTTTAAGCCTTGAGACAATTGAGACATGGATTGTGTATGTGTGCCATTCAGAGGGTGAATGGGCAAGACAAAATATTTAAGTGCCTTTGAATGGGGTATGGTAGTAGGTGCTAAGCACACCGGTTTGAGTGTGTCAAGAACTGCAACGCTGCTGGGTTTTTCATACTCAACAGTTTCCCGTGTGTATCAAGAATGGTCCAACACCCAAAGGACATCCAGCAAACGGCAGGCCAGTGGTCGAAAACGGGTCATTGATGAAATAGGACAAAGGAGGGTGACACAAATTGTGCAGAGCAACAGACGGGCTACAGTTAGTCAACTGACAGTCCAGTACAAAAATGACCCAGAAAAGAATGCACAACTCGTCGTACCTTAGCATGAATGGGGTATGGCAGCCAAAGACCTTACAGAATTCCACATCCTTCAGCAAAAGTCAAGAAACTGTGGTTGCAGTGGCCTAAGGAACGAAAACACTGGACACTGGAGAATTGGAAAAACATTGTCTGGTCTGATGAATTCCGGTTCCTGCTGTTTCACACTGATGGGAGTACTAGAGTATGGAGAAAACCACATGATTACATGCATCCATCATGCCGGGTGTCAACATTGCAGGCTGGTGGTGGTGTGATGGTGTTGGGTGTGTTTTCATGGCACACATTGGGCCCCTTGATAAAAGTGGAGCAACGTTTGAATGCCACAGGATATCTGAACATCATTGCCAATCAGGTGCATCCCTTCATGGCAGCAGTGTATCCATCTGCAAATAGATTTTTCAGCAGGATAATGCCCCATGCCACAAGGCTAGGACCGTTGGTTTAGGGACTTTGGGTCAACACATTCCACACTGTACAGTTGTGAGAACCTCAGTCATGATTGTGTGACTGACTAGGGGAGCTCAAGTCTTCAGGTCTCAAGCAAGGTTACTCATCAAGCAGGGGCGGACTGGGACCTGAAAATCAGCCCTGGCATTTCTAACACACCAGCCTATTTTTTCCCCTCGAGACCCCCACACCGGCACATTTTTTCCCTTGAGGCCCCCATTATTAGCCAGATAATTATCATTTTGCGCATAAAACCCAAGCCAGACAGGCCCACTGGGCTATAAATGCAGCAGCCCATCTGGCATTTGCCCAAAACGGCAGATTGCCAGTCCGCACCTGTCATCACGTGAGTAACCACCTGGTATGGTTTGGCCAAAGCAGACCCAGTCTTGGCCAGTCTTGTCTTCACACCTCCTCTGTGAGGCATAGCAGGGATATTGCCCTGGGTCGGGGGAAAGGCCACTTGGTCCTGCTCCGCCACATGCCACAGGCTTTATTTATAGGGGTCGTTCATAGGGTCACAGGGAGGAACTGGATGGGATACAGTAGCACACGCCCCTATGCCCCTGGCCCTGACCACAACATTCTCACAGGGCTCAGAGGAATGACAGTGTGTCACAGCCGTTTAACAAGCTCCAAACAATTAATATTACAGGTCAGTGCTACACCATGCTAATACTAACCATCACCCAGTGCTTACACACAAACAAGCTAGCAGTGAGTCTCATTGCCATAGCTTCACATAGAACTAGAGATGGGGTTAATTCAACTAATTCAATTCCAAATCCCTGTAAATTCCATTTAATTCAATTCAAATTCCAGGTCAGTCCATCTCTGAATTCCGAGATAATTAAATTCCTCTCAATTCCAATAATTATATTCCCAATTCAATATTATCCCCAACAATTCCACAAATTCTAATTCCTCAGGGTTTCAGGGTGATCATGTCGCTCACAGTTCAGACAGCCTAGCTATACTGGAAATATAGAAATACAAGTTGAAATGATTTCAAACAAATCCTGCAGTACATTTTGTTTTGTTACTATTTTTAAAACTCATTTTTCTCCCCAATTTCGTGATATCCAATTGGTAGTTAGAGTCTTGTCTCATCGCTGCAACTCCCGTTCGGACTCGGGAGAGGCGAAGGTCGAGAGCCATTCGTCCTCCGAAACACGACCCTACCAAGACGCACTGCTTCTTGACACACTGCTCGCTTAACCCGGAAGCCAGCCGCACCAATGTGTCGGAGGAAACGCCGTACAACTGGCGACCGAAGTCAGCTTGCAGGCACCCGGCCCACAAAAGGAGTCACCAGAGCGTGATGGGACAAGGACATCCTGGCCGGCCAAACCCTCCCCTAACCCGGACGATGCTGGACCAACTGTAGTGACGCTGCGCCACTCGGGAGGCCTGCAGTACATTTCTTTATACTAAGTGCATGAATTCCAATCCAAACAGTGCAAACAGTCTAATTCCATAATTTGAAGATTGTTGAAATTAGAATTGAATTCAATGTAAATTCTTCACTTCATGAGTGAATTCAATAATTAAAACTAAATTGACCACAACCCTGCATAGCTCCCCATGTACTGTAAAGCTAACATTGTTGGAGAAATAAATATGACCCCACCTTACAGGCTCAACAAAAGCACAGTGTCAGATAAGTGTTGTGGATAAATAAATTATGTTAAGTCGGGACATTTTATAATGACTGGACATGGCAACCAAATTCCTGCACCTTCTTGCATTACAAGCCAGAAGGGTCTGCAGAAACTTGACAAGTCCATCTATTTAGCCTACTTCCTTTCCAATACTTCCAGATTAGCGCTTAGAAGTGTAAACTAGAGGCTAGATGTAGTAGTGCAATGGGGTATCTGTCTCTCACCTCTTGGCTGTAGAGGAACTGGAAGTGGCTGGGCTGACTGCTGGCCTGCTTCACTGCCTGGGCCAGCTCCACCGAGCCACGGCCACCCCGCGCCCAGTGATGACACGGCACGGCATCCGATGCCCCAGACTCCTTGGCCATCTGGCACACCAGGTCGATCTCCGCCTGGGTGTCGGTCCTGTAGAGTAGCCAAGGAGACGGTAACCATAGAGGAAACCAGGGAAACAACCATAGAAATTGGAGCAATTGAAATTGAAATGAGATGGCAACCTAAAGTTCAGGTTAACAATACCAGCCCATTTAGTCTAAATGAGGCCTGAAGGCCAAAGCTACATTCTAATAGCTTCTGACACGCCACAGTTTCTGTGTAAACACCTCAGTCACACTGACAGACTAACGCTATGTCAAACACACCAAGTCCTCTAACCACGGACCTCAACTACACCAGACATGACACGGGCCACTTGCTGTGTGTGTGTGTGTGTGTCTGTGTGTGCATACATGCATACATACATGCACGCATGCACGCACGCACGCACGCACGCACACATACGTGTGTGTGTGTGTGTTTTTGGTTTTACTATCCTTGTGGGGACCAGAAGTCCTCACAAGGATAGTGAAACAAGGAAAAACAAAATTGGACAAGTGGGGACATTTTGCAATTTCCCACAATGGAATAAAGCTATTTTAGGCTTAGGGGTTAGGTTTAGGGTTAGAATTAGCCGTTAGGGATATTTAGGGATTACACATAGACTTCCAGTTATTGTGCTAACGCTAGTTAGCATTGGCTCGCGAAACTACCTTCCTTCATAATGGACAGAGACATAATCCAAAAGCATCCCTTTAAGGTTATGGTTAGGTGTTAGGGAAAATATGATTTGGAATGGGAATCAATTGTTTGGTACCCACAAGGATAGTAAAACAAATGTGTGTGTGTCCCTGGCAGGTTGACGTGTATTTTCATGAGTCTTGTCCTGGAGGCAGAACTGAGCGATTTTCTTTTAGATGGGCCAGCTGCAAAATCAAAATTGACTATATTGCAAAAAACTGCCGTTAAGGTTTGGGTTAGGTTTAAAATCAGATGTTATGACTTTGTGGCTGTGCCAGCTAGTGACCACCCTGCAGACCTGACGGAAAACGCAAACCTGTGTGTCACTGACCCTCATATGGTTTGCGTATAAGGATTCTAAAGCCATGCATGTTGTGTTGCATAAGTCTGTGAATGTGTTAATGTCTGCATTACATGCCTATACACAATACGGGGTCTGAGAGACAGAGGGAGAGGCCCAGTCCAGCTGCTCAGACTGAAACAGACTGGAAGTCTTACTTGAAGACGTTGAGAGCCACGACCACAGGGACTCCAAACAGGTGGGCTATCTGGATCTGTTTCCTCAGGTTACTGCTGCAGCCCTCCGCCACCAGACTCATGTTCTAGAATACAAAGGGACAGAGAGAGAGAGGGAGGGAGAGTGAGCGAGAGATTCATTCCAATCTAATGGAAACATAGTCAAACTCAATGTGAAACTCATCCAGGTCTGAAGTGCAGTGGTGTTGGATGTGAGGCACAGAGAGGGGCAGGTATTCATCTGTATCATTTCAACAAGGGGAATATCAAACGCTAACTACCAAAACAGGATATCACCGGTTTTGAGAAGCTCGGTCAATGACTCAGGAGTTCTCGCTCATATGACACAGTGTGTGTGTGCTTGTGAGAAAGACAGAAAGAGCGAAAGAGAGCAAGAGAGCGAGCGAGAGAAGAGATAAAAAGGGAGAGTGGGAGAGAGGAGTGGGCGTAGATAGAGAATGCTATAATTGCATTGTATGAGCCAGGTCTTTTACAGAGTCAGGAGAGTTGGAACTATTGGCTCTAGTGTATCCAATCTACCCCACTCTGCTACAGTCCCCTCTGGTAGTTCAGTCGCCTAGAGCAACAATGACTCGCTCCAATGGTTCAGACTTTGGGGGGTGAGACGAGGCAATACTCACTAAGGAGTTCAAATCCTGTTTAACAGCAACATTGACACTTTCTGGGGAAGGAACAATCCCCTATATGACATCCCATATGAAGAACACACAGGATGTTTTGACAGTGTGTGGGTGGGTGGGTGGGCTTGTGTGCGTGCCTAGGCGTGGCAGGCAATACTCCCAGAGATAATAAAACCCTGTCTGTTTAGCACCAAAATTGTCATATTCCAGGATCCACTGACTGGCCTATCCTGAGCCCAGTCCTTAGTTGTCTCCAGGACAGGCCCTAACGTTACTCTGCTGTGGCTGGCTCTGTGCCTGGCTCTGTGCCTGGCTCTTCTCTCTCAAGGCCTTCTGCTTCTCGTTACAGCCCTCACAATTAACTTAGCTGACACCCCTTCATTATTTGCTCAGCTGAAGAGCCTCCTGAGAGAGCAGTGATTTAAACCAGGCATGGGGTTTGAACATACAGACCCCCAACCTCCATCTCTACTAAGCCCCCTCCCTGACTGGAGACCCAAGCCAAGGGTCTATTTGCCCTGCTAATCAAATAATTACCTCAAATCATGTTTGAGAGAGATAGAGAGAGAGAGAGAGCAAGAGAGCGAGATATGCATGTCTGTATGTGGGGAATGGAAAGAGGAATGAGGACCGAAGGGGATGGCTGGAAGCTGGGGCAGAACTTGTTCATGTCAGATACTCTTTAGTCCTTCCACCGTTCTCCTCTTCCCTCCTACCCATGTGTATAGTGTGACATTGCATCGTCCCCTAAAACCTTAAACCTCATCTGACTGTACAGAATCTGTCTGGCTATAGGGTGTGTACCGTATTACCAGAGGTATTCATATCCAGGTGGTAAATTCCACCGTACTGCTGGCTGATTGATTAATTGAATGCTATTCCACTCACTTGTCACTAGTGTCCCAGATCTAAATCTTATTAGAGGGGAAGTACTGTATGCGAACTGGCAGTATGGAGGACATCGAGGCCTGGATTTAAATACCCCTTATACACCCCCTTCCTGAAGTCCACGCCTGTGATGTTAACAGGGCGCAACGTTGCCACCTATGGACAAGATTATGTATGGCCTTCCATTTTATCAAGCCCACAAACAAACAAACATGGCTTGATTGGTTGATTGTGGTGCTGCATGTGAAAGGAAATGTTGTCTTGCACAACATGGTAATAGGTCTTACATGAGCAAATGACTTCCTAACTGGATCTAATAGTACCAAGGCTATCCTGACCTTATAGACAAATCAGGTTATGTTGATGATCATAACCCAGTGATTAGATCTAACCACAACCCCCCCCTACCCTCCACCCCCCTCCTCTCAATAAAGCCACTGGTAAGTTTATTTCATTTCCCTTATCAATTTCTATCCCTGCATCATCATCATCAGGTCAGGGAACCAATGGGAGACATGCTAATCAAATGTTGGTCAGGAGGACATTAGGCTCAACTCCCAGCTCTTTCAGGCTTTCTGCTGACTTTGGTTCATACTTTTTCACTGGTACCTCTTTTGAACTGGGGGAACAAGAGTCAACTCTTAATAAGCTCGCATTGCCACTGACAACAAAAAAGTTGTACTACGCTGTTTTAAACCAAGTAAAGCGCTCTCTCTCCAATCTCTTACCTCGTCTATGTACTCTCTTGGTAGAGGTGAGCCAGCTGAGACCTGCAGGAACACAGTAATATTAGCACACATTCAAACATGCAATATATCAACATCATCATATTCTGTATTTCAGTCAGTTTTGCGTATTATGGTCAACTCGGGTACAGTAAATACCAGGAAACTGATATGAACGGTCCAGGTGCTAGTGCAGATAAGCAATTATTGGACTAGGGTTATCTAATACAAGCTATAAACATTTATTCCAGAGAGGTATGCAGCACGCAAATCTGAGTTTATGGATATGGCATGAAAACATAAGCCAGAGCACTACAATCACAGAATTTCTCGTCCTTAGACATTTACAACAGTGGGCCATTTCCTGATATGGGTACATGGTAACCGCTGTATCTTAGAATTGCAGAGATCCTATAAGGTTAGTCCTATACAGTAGAGTAGAGAACAATAAAGTATAGTACAGGCTCTTGCTAGATTAGCATTATAGAACGCAGTGGTGGAAAAAGTACTCAATTGTCATACTTGAGTAAAAGTAAAGATACCATAATAGAAAATGACTAAAGTAAAAGTCACCCAGTAAAATACTACTTGAGTAAGTCTAAAAGTATGTGGTTTTAAATATACTTAAGTATAAAAAGTAAATGTAATTGCTAATATATACTTAAGTATTAAAGGTAAAAGTAAAAGTATGAATAATTTCAAATTCCTTATATTAAGCAAATATATAACTCCAACAGACATAATTTACAAATGAAGCATCAGTGTTTAGTGAGACCACCGGATCCGTCTGTACTCTTGATAAGTGCATGAATTGGACCATTTTCATGTCCTGCTAAGCATTCAAATGTAACAATTACTTTTGGGTGTCAGGGAAAACACATGGAGTAAAAAGTACATTATTTTCTTTAGGAATGTAGTGAATTACATTTACATTTTACATTTTAGTCAGTTAGCAGACGCTCTTATCCAGAGCGACTTACAGTTAGTGAATACATATTTTTTTTATACTGGCCCCCGTGGGAATCGAACCCACAACCCTGGCGTTGCAAACGCCATGCTCTATCAACTGAGCTACATCCCTGCCGGCCATTCCCTCCCCTACCCTGGACGACGCTGGGCCAATTGTGCGCCGCCCATGAGTCTCCCGGTCGCGGCCGGGAGACTCATTAAAAGTAAAAGTTGTCAAAAATATAATAGTAAAGTACAGACACCCCAAAAGAGACTTAAGTAGTACTTTAAAGTATTTTTACTTAAGTACATTTACACAACTGATAGAACGGATGGTTGACTCACATTGGGACCGCCTCCATGCATTTTCAATGCTCTGACCGTGGCGACCAGGACGACCACGTTGGGCCTCAGCCCCGAGGCCCTGCACTTGATGTTGAAGAACTTCTCCATCCCGATGTCTGCCCCGAAACCAGCCTCAGTCACTGTAGAGAGGAGAGGTGAGAAGGGGTCAGGAGCCAACACCAGAGTTATAGATGGGAAGTGAGATAAGTCCAGAGTATAGGCAGATCAGATCCATCCCTCTAGCCCTGTGTTTGTTTTCACTTTATGTAACTTCGTTCTACATGGACATTACACATGACCAAGTCCTCAGCTCAGTCGCATACATCTTCAAAGAGCACTGCATCGAAGACACAAGCCAGCAAAAGGAGCTGATCGTGGACTACAGGAAAAGGAGGGCCGAACAGGCCCCGATTAACATCGACGGGCCTGTAGTAGAGCGGGTCGAGAGTTTCAAGTTCCTTGGTGTCCACATCACCAACAAACTATCATGGTCCAAACACACCAAGACAGTAATGAAGAGGGCACGACAACACCTTTTCCCCCTCAGGAGACTGAAAAGATTTGGCATGGGTCCCCAGATCCTCAAAAAGTTCTACAGCTGCACCATCGAGAGCATCCTGACTGGTTGCATCACCGCCTGGTATGGCAACTGCTCGGCATCTGACTGTAAGGCGCTACAGGGGGTAGTGTGTACGGCCCAGTACATCACTGGGGCCAAGCTTCCTGCCATCCAGAACCTATATACTAGGCGGTGTCAGCGGAAGGCCCAAAAAATTGTCAAAGACTTCAGTCACCCAAGTCATAGACTGTTCTCTGCTACCGCATGGCAAGCGGTACCGGAGCGCCAAGTCTAGGTCCAAAAGGCTCCTTAACAGCTTCTACCCCCAAGCCATAAGACTGCTGAACAATTAATCAAATTGCCACCCGGACTATTTACATTGACCGCCCCCCCCACCTTGTTTTTACACTGCTGCTACTCGCTGTTTATTATCTATGCATACTCACGTTACCCCTACCTACAAAAACTATGTACAAATTACCTCGACTAACCTGTACCCCCGCACATTGACTCGGTACCATACCCCCTGTATATAGCCTCATTATTGTTATTTTATTCTGTTAATTTTTTCTTCTTTTTTTAAACTTTAGTTTATTTAGTAAATATTTTCGTAACTATTTATTGTACTGCATTGTTGGTTAAGGGCTTGTAAGTAAGCATTTCACGGTAAGGTCTACACCTGTTGTATTCGGTGCATGTGACAAATAAAATTTGATTTGTTATGATCTCTCTTTCTACCTCTCCCCATCTCTCCTATCTCTGTGGGAGTAAAGCTGGAGTGAATGGCTGGTTCAGTTGGAGGTCTGTAAAGGGTCCAGGGCCTCTGATACTACAGCCCTGGGCCTCTTGAACACACTAACACAAGCAAATAGTCTACCTGCAACGACAGCTCTGTTACGATACAGCTTCCTGGAGGGCCACCATTGTATGAGTCACATGGAGACAGAGGCAACCAGAGATATTCATCACCAGATGGCACAGCTATGACAGCTAACACCACTAACACTGTTAGAGCTACAGGTTTATAATAATAATAATATAATATGCCATTTAGCAGACGCTTTTATCCAAAGCGACTTACAGTCGTGTGTGCATAAATTTCTTTTTGTGAATGGGTGGTCCCGGGGATCGAACCCACTACCTTGGCGTTACAAGCGCCGTGCTCTACCAGCTGAGCTACAGAGGACCACACTGAAACTGTCAGCAAAGAGCTAGCACAGGGCTAACACTTCAACTGCTTCAGGTGTACCGTATTTCACATTGAAACTGTTTGCAAAGAGCTAGCACGGGGCTAATAACACAACAAAGCCCACCAGCCTTGTGTCTGCTCCATCCTGTTGTTTACACAGGAATCTCACTCCTGGATGTTTCCAGTAGGGACCCCTGGTCCACTGGTCCTGCCCCAGTAGGTTGTGGCCCCCCACCAGGAATCCTCCAGGCCATGACACAGCCAGCTCCTCCCAGACTCCACCCCCTCTCAGTGGGCTTCCTGTGCCACTTCCCTGGGCGGTTGGGGGGGAAGTTACTGTTTCCACTGGTGAAAGGTGGCATTCCTGACAGAGGTGTGTGTGTGTGTGTCATGTGAGTGCATGCATATGTGCATGTTGAACTCAAGAAAACCCTAGGCCAGTTAAATCCTGGATTACCCCAAATAAAGGGATGTCGATTAAAGTGATTTAATAAATAGGGAGGAAATGGACCTACAGTAATTGAGGGGATCACCTGCAATTGTGTGTGTGTGTGTGTGTGTGTGTGTGTGTGTGTGTGTGTGTGTGTGTGTGTGTGTGTGTGTGTGTGTGCGCGTTAGAAGTCAAGCGTGTAGATTCTCCATGTAACATCCCACACGATGTCTAACTGACTAGCACACGCCACCATACTGTTCCTTCTAGCTATTCAGAGCACTCCAAAAAGCTAGGGCCAGAATTTCACAGTCCACAATATAAACTGAGTTGAACAAGTGATGAAATGTGTTTATCCATAAAACTCTACTCATCTGGAAATGCATATTGGAAAATGAACAGAAACAGAGATTAAAACAGAGTATTTAAGCTATTTGACCACAGAAGAGATGAGTGTATTGAGAGTGTGGTCAGGAAGAGGCGTTCTTGGCCCCAAATGCTACAGACTGACAAATGATAAAATACAATCCCTCGGTTGTGGTGACCACTTTCTGGAAAGGTGGTGGGTTTCCATGAGAAAATTAAAGGTGTGTATTACATCATTGCTACTCTGTTAAACGGCTAACCAACAGACAGAGAGAGAGAGATAGAGAGACGGACAGAGAGAAAGGGAAAGAGGGGGGGGGGGGGGGGGGGGGGGGGGAGTCCGCTCTGCTCAACCTCAATGTCATTAAGCCATCCGTCAGAGACATGCTGTGGTTTTTGGGGCCTAAAAAACACATTTTGCATTTCAACTGGTGGCCTTTCCATTAGTTAAAATCAACAACGCATGTTCAAATCTTAACCAAAGGATTTAGCAAGATGTTTGGTGACCTACAGAGAGCAGACTGCTTTCTTGCATTTCTACAGGGGTAGGAATTTGTTTTTGTGTTTATCCTGGCTGTGACAACAGGGTATTACTGTGAAGTCCTGGCAATGACTAGAGGTAAGCTGAATTGATCACCAGAGAAAAAGCTCATTTTGGTTTCATTTTGAAACCTGGGTAGTGGATTAATGACGATCCTTTCACAAATTGTGAATGTCCAATGACTCAACCACATACACAGTCACCACCGAGTAGGGGAGAGAAAGACAGAAACAACAACACGGTAACTCAGAGGATGTCTAAAGGAAGCCCCTGTGAGTTTCCTGGTCTGTGTGGTGACCTCAAACTATTGAGGATTGTTTCCAGTGAGGATTGTTGTGAAAAGCTGTGGGGCTACAGAGGACAGAGCGGGATGTAGTGAGGCTTGGTCAGGGTTACTACCAGTCACAGATCTGGAGCAGCAGCCCAGTTTCACACACACACACACACACACAGGCCTGATGAAACACGCACACAGACCTGAAAAGTAGGCCAGGTCAGCGCTAGTTTCTCCACCCCCCCAAAAAACACTCCTGTTTTTCCCCCCAATGTGAATGAAAATGCATATTTTAGTTATGATCACTGATAATACTTATTCCTAACAAGTTTTATTCCATTCTTTCCATTATTCTCTCAGGTTCCAATCCTGACTTTAGAATCTAAATGTGTGTTATTCACCTGAATTAGCCAATGCCTTAACGTCATTGGGAGGTCTGTGCAAAATAGTTTAAAAAAAGATCAAATAAGTGTTCAGTTCAACAAGTTTGGTTCTGTCTAGTTATTCAGTGTATCCACATTCCTTCATCTGTGTGTTTTGTAACCCAGTGTCCCTGTTGTTAGAGGTTATTTGAGTGCCCTCTCCTCCATTCCAGACCAGACCACTAAGGATGCAGGAATAGCAGGAATCTGACATGTGGAATGTCTACCTGGGACTAGCCTCCACTCAGGGTGCATTCTATTTCTCTCTCTTATCTAAACTATAGTCAGAACAAGACTGAAGGCTGAAACTGACTTGAAAACTACCACAACATGTGAGAAGGATATTACTACAGTTTCACCTTCAACTTACTGTTATAAGTAATAACCACATCATTCTGGTGTTTTGTTCTTGGCAAGAGGGAGGGGAGGCAGGAGGGGGAGAGGAAGAGAGAAAGGGGGAGAGTGTCACAGCTGTCTGAGGAGCTTCAGAGGAGAGGGTGAGTTCCTAACATACCTGAGAGTCCGGTAACAAACAGAGACAGGAGAGAGAGGGCGAGTGAAGGGAGCAGGAGAGGGAGTACGAACACAGGAGAGATAGAGGTAGAGAGAGAGAGGCAGGAAAAAGAGGGAGGGAGGAGATGGCCCCTTCCACACTTCTCTCCTCCTGACTGTGTTGTGAAACTCTACACTGGGAGCGTGTTGCCTACAATTCCTCCAGGTCAGTAGAGTGACAGTAACTACCTGGGCATGAAGGCGGCCACATACATAAACACTGTAACTAGGTGGTAAGTAGTAGTACTGTGGGTTTAGCTAGAACTAAACACACCTGATATGCCCTTAAAAGACAGTTCACTACCACTCTTTGTCCACAGGCAAAAACACATATTCCCCTCATTCTTTCACAGACAGACTGAGAATGGAGAGAAAAAAGAGAGCGAGAGAAGAGAGAAGGAGAGTAAGACAGGGAGGGGAGGATGGATAGAGAAAGATGGAAAGAGTCAGGTATGCTTTGACATAGGATTAGGCTGATTTACTCCAAAGCGTTCCACAGGCTCTTACGATTACAGATCTGCTTTCTCCTCTAACGTAACTTTTCCACAGTTCCTAGAAAGCTTCGGAACCCTGGTCTGGAGCGTGGACTCCTCCAAGCAGCAACCCTGAGGTACCAGGACCAAGGCTAGAGGCTAGAGCCAGGACCAGGGACTAGAGCCAGGACCAGGGCAAGAGGCTCGAGCCAGGACCAAGGCTAGAGGCTAGAGCCAGGACCAGGGGCTAGAGCCAGGACCAGGGCAAGAGGCTCGAGCCAGGACCAAGGCTAGAGGCTAGAGCCAGGACCAGGGCAAGAGGCTCGAGCCAGGACCAAGGCTAGAGCCAGGACCAGGGGCTGGAGCCAGGACCAGGGCAAGAGGCTCGAGCCAGGACCAGGGAAGGACTCCTCCAAGCAGCAACCCTGAGGTACCAGGGCCAGAGGCTTGAGCCAGGACCAGGGCAGGAGGCTCCTCCAAGCAGCAACCCTGAAGTACATTTGACATTTTAGTCATTTAGCAGACGCTCTTATCCAGAGTGACTTACAGTTAGTGAGTGAATACATTTTTCATACTGTACCAGGGCCAGAGGCTCGAGCCAGGACCAGGGCCAGAGACTAAAGCCAGGACTCAGGAGTAAGTGGGCCAAAGGTACTGGGAGCCAGGAACTAGTCTAAAGTTCAACCCTGGACTTGTAACTTTTGGTTTGACCCACCCTTCCCAGGAAACCAGGGATTTGAATTCCTCGCCAAAGTGTGTGTGTGTGTGTGTGCGTCCGCCCAGACTGTACAGTTGAAAAACAGCTGGCTGTCATCTTTTTGGTTACTGTGTCCGTGTGTGTTACTCGCACATCGCACTCTTAGAATTAAGGGGAACCCTGGAGACTCGAGGAACCCTGGAGTTCCTCAGGGAACCATTGCTAGTCAATGGGTTCATATTTGCACCTTTTGTTAGTTGAGGGGTTCTGGGAGGAACCTTACATCTTTCAATGTAGCAAAGGGTTCCTGGAGGTAAAGTGTATATATTGTAGCTATATCTTCTAGCGGTGGCAGCCTATCAGAAGATTTGGGGCGTGGCTTTCAAAAGTTATTTTTGGCCACCCGTGAGAGTAATTGTCATTGCTGTTCACGTGTTCAGTTGCAGAGTCAATAATAGAGCCCGACTGATAAATCGGTTGACCAATATATATATATATATAAATAAACATACATACATACATACATATATACATATATATATATATATATATATATATATATATATATATATATATATATATATAAATAAACATATATACATATAAACATACATATATATATATATACAGTGGGGAGAACAAGTATTTGATACACTGCCGATTTTGCACGTTTTCCTACTTACGAAGCATGTAGAGGTCTGTAATTTTTATCATAGGTACACTTCAACTGTGAGAGATGGAATTGTATGATTTTTAATTAATTAATTTGCATTTTATTGCATGACATAAGTATTTGATCACCTACCAACCAGTAAGAATTCCGGCTCTCACAGACATGTTAGTTTTTTTTAAAGAAGCCCTCCTGTTCTCCACTCATTACCTGTATTAACTGCACCTGTTTGAACTCGTTACCTGTATAAAAGACACCTGTCCACACACTCAATCAAACAGACTCCAACCTCTCCACAATGGCCAAGAAGACCAGAGAGCTGTGTAAGGACATCAGGGATAAAATTGTAGACCTGCACAAGGCTGGGATGGGCTACAGGACAATTGGCAAGCAGCTTGGTGAGAAGGCAACAACTGTTGGCACAATTATTAGAAAATGGAAGAAGTTCAAGATGACGGTCAATCACCCTCGGTCTGGGGCTCCATGCAAGATCTCACCTCGTGGGGCATCAATGATCATGAGGAAGGTGAGGGATCAGCCCAGAACTACACTGCAGGACCTGGTCAATGACCTGAAGAGAGCTGGGACCACAGTCTCAAAGAAAACCATTAGTAACACACTACGCCGTCATGGATTAAAATCCTGCAGCGCACGCAAGGTCCCCCTGCTCAAGCCAGCGCATGCCCAGGCCCGTCTGAAGTTTGCCAATGACCATCTGGATGATCCAGAGGAGGAATGGGAGAAGGTCATGTGGTCTGATGAGACAAAAATAGAGCTTTTTGGTCTAAACTCCACTCGCCGTGTTTGGAGGAAGAAGAAGGATGAGTACAACCCCAAGAACACCATCCCAACCGTGAAGAATGGAGGTGGAAACATCATTCTTTGGGGATGCTTTTCTGCAAAGGGGACAGGACGACTGCACCGTATTGAGGGGAGG